GATGTTGACTCATGTTTACGATTGATAAAAGTAGGTAACTACCCCGTCACGTGCGCAGTGACTAACGAGGTCCCGCCGCTTGAATATGCGTCTGCCTCTACCTCCGTACCAAGGCTTAGTCGACCTATTTCAAAGAAGGTGGACCTTCAGTTATAGTACTTCCAGTGACAGCGGGTTGTGCATGAGGCTCGATATGATATCAGTCTGCTAATCTCAGTGAACTTAGCTGGTTTACGCTCAACTGTAAGTGAAGAGTAAGTTTCCCAAATATGACGTGAGGTTCTTCATTCACAACATCCCTTAAGCCTTTGCAGATGCTCAGACCCACCCGCGCAAGTTCAAATATTGACTCTGTTCAATCAACCTAATTTGTAACTCAGAGTGCTTGAATCATCACCAGCGGTTTACATACCTTATATGAAAAATACATCATTTCGAAATGTTGACTTGGCCCTATGCCCCCAGATACTTTTGTCGGTGGATAATTCTTGATCAACGTACCGATGTCCCATTTTAGTCTGGATATCTAGTGTGGCATGGATGCTTTTGTATTTTGAGGTACATCCTACTAATAAGTCATGTAGGTATGTACTATTGCAGCCGACATCGAATTGTTTTACTCAAGAATTTAATTGAGCACATGGACAGTATATCATTCTCAACTTCTTGAGTCAATACGATGAACATAGGTCAAGGGCTGTCTGCAGAATACCATTTGGTTCTAAGCGCCATAATCAGCGATGATCTCGGCCCCGTTCATTCAATTCTGCTCTTTTCGAGGAACATCATCCGACTGCCAGCTGGGTTTCTAGTCCACTCTTGCATGTAAACATCGTATAGATTTCTTCCATGTCAGTTAGTGTTCACGTCAACTCAAGTCGTATCACAGTGTCACGATAGCTTTTGAAAGAAATATGGTATCTCTGTATTATTAATCTAGAAAATTACTCTACCCAAAGCTAAGACCTTTACGCGCGCTGGGACGAAGTTATAATTTGCATAGGAAACTCTTGCGAGTGTTGAATGGGTGCTGAGTTCTCAAGATGATGACGCCTTGGCTTCCTGAATGATCACATCGCTAGCCTTCTCCGACACCACATATAACGGCAGCGCAATGTAGAATCCAGGGATCTTGGGGAAGACACTAGCATCAACAACTCTTAGGCCCTCGGTACCGCGGACCTTGAAGTTAGTGTCAAGTACAGCCATCGGGTCATCATCAGCACCGATAGGACAAGTACACGAAGCGTGGTGTCCCCATGCCTCGTCCTTGAGGAATTGTTTGGCGTCCGCTTCCGTGGAGGTATTGGTACCCGGCCAAACCTCGGGGAAGCTGCCGTCGAGCGGGATGAGGCTATCGAAGGCCTTTCGGGTGAACTCGAAGCCCTCATAGGTAGCCTGAAGATCCTTGTCGCCCTCCCCGTTGCTGTTGATGCCCGTGTCGTAGTAATTGAAGTTGATGAGGGGCATGTCCCTGGGATCAGTCGACTTCAAGGTCACTGTACCAGCATTATTTCTGCTGTGAGCCTTGAGAATGATCCATGCCCAGTGCTGTGCGTCGGCGAGCGAGTCAGAGGCGTAGCCGGGGAAGTACCCCTTGAATTTGGCCGGCGCGCCGGAGATGAGCAAGTCGGGCTCGTTCTCGGCAACGGAAGACTTGAGGATGACGGCGATCGCGATGCCATTAGTGGCGTACACGCCCTTAGTGATGGGTTCGAGGCCGTTCTGGTAGTCCTCGAGGCAAGGGTCGGGAGACGTCTCCAAGAAAGTGCACTTGCTTGTGATGACAAAGTCACTGTTGGTCTTGCCGATCACGGTTGCCTCGTAGCGATCCTGCATGTTGGTTCCGACACCCGGTAGATCGACGACAACAGGAATCTTGAAAGAGTCGAGCTCTGCCTTCGGACCGATACCACTGAGCTTCAGAAGCTGAGGTGTGTTGAAAGAACCAGCAGAGATGATGACCTCACGATTGGCATCAACGCTACCAGAGCCCGTCGATGAGGCAGATCCTGAGCGGGGATCGGCGCGGTAAAGGCTGGAGCCCTCCAAGAAGTCGACACCAACCGCGCGAGGCTTGTCACCACTCTCATCAAATCGAATCTTGGTGACCTAAAGGAGGTTAGTAAACGACACGATTTATCAACTTCTATGAAACTCTGGTTCAAGAAATCTTACAAGAGTATCGAGCTTGATATCAAGATGATACTTGCGCGATCCATCAGCATTGACAGCGTTGGCAGTATCCAAAATGAGATCTCTAGGACCACCACGGATGGAATTAGTCATAGAAAGCGGAACCTGGTACAGTCCAGTCTTGCTAGTCTGGCCAGGCGCATTGAGATCTCGAAGGAGGACCTGGCCAAGACCAGTGACAGTGCTGAGCACCAATCCAAGAAGGCTCTTCCCCATGGCAGTAGCAGCGGAAATAATCAACGACAGCAGCTTCTGGTCCTCAACCACAAGTGACAGAGAAGTAAGCGAGGTACCAAGCCATCCACTGTACCCATGCCCAATGATGCTTGATGGAAGGTACATGTTCTTCTCAATCTTTTGGAAGTACGAGCGCATGTTGTCTGGCTTCCAGGTATCATCGCCGGTGAGTGTGGCAATGTTCGTCCAATCACTGTCATGAGCGTTGATGGTGATGAGAGCGTTATGGCGAGAACAACCTCCCAAAGTTCCGGCGCGAGGATACCAAACACCAAGAGGGGTTGCTCCAGCTGGAGGATCAAGCCCGACGTAGAAACTGCCGTCGGGCATCTCGTACGTCATCTTGGAATCTCTCTTCTGTTGCTCGAGGTCGGGATAGTGGTTGACCTACATGGTATTAGTCAAGGCACTTTCTGTCACGCTCTTTGCGTACTTAGAACACTTACGAAGTAGTTCCATCTTGTGTCCTCGAACTCAGTTGACATAAGGTGAAGAGCCGGGACCTTCTCCGTCCATGAGTCCCCTGAGTCTCCTCCAGCATCAATCAGCAACACCTTGTATCCGGCGATGGCAAGATTGGCAGCAACAGGGCCTCCTCCAGGACCCGAGCCAACAACGACATAATCGTAGTTGTCAAGAGTGGTGTTGGCGGCGCGTCGACCAATGAAGGGCTCATGGCGAGGCTGTTGCCTTGCAGTCTTCCATGGGACAGCGCTAATGAAAATGTCAATATTTTAGGTCTCCAAGAAGAATTCTGCTCGGAACGACTTACATGGAAGAGGCTGAGTTGGCCAAAACAGTAACGAGTGTGAAAAGGAGTGAAACGCGCATCTTGAGCGCTTGGCAACACGGGCTGCTCAAAAGAGAAAAAAGAGTGACAATGGGTCAGATGGATACAAAGGTCTCAGAACATTGAGTCAGATCGAAGACGAGCCGCATTTGAAAGCTTGATATTCTTGGTCAACGGCACTGATGAGACAGCCTGAATGGAAAGAAAGGAGAGGTCAGCCATTACCTAAGCGGCATTGATAGGCGGTCTGGTAACAAAGCCCTGTCTTTTGGAAGTGAGGCCCATCGGAGAACTGTCAGTTTAGGGAATGGGAATTGTCCGAGGTGACAGGCCTCAGGAGATGCCGTGTTCCTGCTCCGCTTCAAGATGCCGACCCTTCATGTTGATCGTCCTCAATGACGACTTCTTTTTGAGTGGACTATTCCATGGCCACGATGAAAACTATACTTCTCCTCTTCATAAGCCAGGATTCCAACCTTCGAAGTCCTCATGGATTAGGAAAATCCATGCTTACCATGCCCTGCTCCTCCGTCAAGTTTGATCTCAAGGGCAGAAGGTAAGTGGGTTAATTGTCATTGCCGATGCCACCCTCCAAATCAGGGATTGCGGAAAAGTCCAGAGAACTGATTCGGAGCTGGAAGAATACAAGGTTCAGCAGGCTTCCGCATTCGGCGTTGGTCAATTGAGGAAAGCCATGAGTCCACGATGGATAAGGAATCAATGCCACGAGAAACCTTAGATCACGCAGCAGAAAGTTTGTCCAGGCCTCTTGCGATGAAGAGTGGCCATTGGCATAAAAGCTGCCAAGGAGCTGAATTTGACGATGCAACGCAGCCATAATGCTAAGCTTGTCGTTAGACGTTGGCGTTTTTCGTGAAGCTTCAGCATTAACAAGGGTCGCGGGCGCGAGGGAGCCGATATACGCTATAACAATGGCTTTGCAGGGAGGTTGACTCAGACATTGCTGCGGGCAGTCTTTCTACGGACCGCTTCCTAGCCCCCGGCTGGGCTAAAACTGCAAGGCAGACGATCGCAATGACAGATACAACGGGGGGCCTAGACCCCCATTAAGTCCCAAGATGGAAATGGCATAGCCCCCACCGCATGCCACTGAAACCTTCGAGAAAGATTGATTTCGCAGGGGATGAAGATGAGAATGGCACTCTGCCGGAGGGGTTTGCTCTGCAGAGAAAGTTTTGACGAGATAGGAATGAGAGACGTGAAGCTCCTTCAAGGACAAAAGGAGGCAGAGATCGGCATTGCGTTGAGGAGACCCTTGGCAACGACCCTTGTTCCAACAACTTTGCTCCACTGTTCGAGCTTTCGTGTTTTCTGCTCAATGCTCATACTGGCTAGCGCAATAGTCAACGGCCGTTAAGAGGATTCTCATCCCGTCAAGTGGCGTTCGGATTTTTAGCGTATCCGTAAGCTAGGTCTGGGGTAGGGCTAACCAAGAGGAACATTTCCAAGGAAACATGACTTGATTTGGATGGCGTGGAACATGGGTCTCGGACTTTGACCTGGCGGGTAATGCGGACTGCAGCAAAGTCTCAAGGCAGGGTTAACTTCCATAATGACAGTATGAATTATGTTTATGTTCTATGTTCGTATGTGGTATCTCAGTGCAGCTTTATGCTGTTAAAATTAAAAAAGATGGTAGCAGGATCGATCCTCTTCTGTGTGTCTAAATGTTGCCGAAAAAAGGAAGCGGGTAAATGAGTGAGAGTAATAAACAGCAGATGAACGCCGGCCAGTAAAATTCCTCATGATGCCTTGCTCACACAGATTCATGTGGAGTAATGGGCTTCTTTTCTGATGACGGGCGCGAACTGGGGTCTGTGAACGGCCCTGCCGTGAGTTCATGCTCAACGTAGGAGACATCATCCCGATGTCTTGACCGGACTGTGAACTCCTTGAGCACTCGAATAGCCGGTTTTGACGAGCCCTTGGATGAAACCTTCTGGGAGTTGGAAAGGTCCTTCTGTTGGCTAGAGAGATTTGCGTAGTTTGATTTGCCCCTTTGAGTGGTGCCGAACACCTTGGGAAAGACCAGACTAAATAGAGAGCGAATGGCAGGCATGCTGGCGCAGATGACGCCTACCGGAACCTCAATAGTGCTCCAGTATCCGACCTCGACGTAGTCCTCTAGCATCACATTAGCTTAATGCTTTCCCACTGGTATGTTGGGTAGAAACTTACGCGTCGCATTGCTCGTAGTTGCATAGCTGGCCAGCGAATGCAACCGTACCACACTCACAATAGTGACACTAAGTAGAATTTGTCAGCAAACAGTTCTGCGGGATGGATAATTTGCCAAGCATACAAGAACCCAACGCTGAACATCAGAATGACCATGAGCTTCTTCTTTGTAGAAAGCGAAAGATTGTACAGTTCTTTCAACGGAAGAATCAACGTGGCCAAGTCCAGAAGAATATTGATGATTGCCGCAGCCCAACCCTGGATGTTGATATTGTTGCATTTTGCCGGGTATTCCTTGTCCCATGCTCTCCAGGCCCCATCGATCGGACGGCACTGGAAGATCGAGATGAGTTCGAAGGTGATGAAGTATGCAACGTTGAGCCCGATAAGAACCCAGCAGCCAATTCTTATTTCTCTTTTGGGAAAGATTTTGAGGTAAAAGAGAAGAATTGAGATTTTGGTGACTGGCAAAGCGCCGAGGTATAGAAGCTCGTCCCAGTAAAAGAGCTAATACTAAAGTCAGTTAAGGCACTGAACATCTGCAGAAAAAGACTTACATAGAGAAACTGTGTCACGTCGTCAGGGTGCACGTTCCAAATGTCCTTGCCCAGAGCAACTTGAGAGACTTGGCGACGAGTCAGCAACATAAAATATTGGCTAGACATGGAAAGACTTACTTGGGACCGATAGAGCGTTGAGTGGTATCATCATGCCCTACCATTCTGTTAGTAACTCGATAATTTGCGCAGGGCAGAAGAGAGTTGACTCGCCACCGCAATACACATAACCCAGTCGTCTGGCCCCCAAGACTGGCCACCCAGGCAAAGTCGAGCCATGACTCTCAACACGAACGCCAAAAGGCCAAGAACCAGAAAAGCCACTCCGGTGACCCATACTAATGCAGTTCTGTCTCGTGAAGGTGCACCGCAAGTGTGCTTAGAGTAACTTTGAACCACTGGAAAGATCGTAAGTTCAGCAACTTTCAGTCATCACTGGCAAGTAGTAACATACGTAGTGCCTCCCGGACAGTGCAATTGGAGTGCACGCAGAGTGAAATCTTCTCATTCAGCTCAACATTGGTGCATATGCAAGTTGCGTTAGTGAGCGAGCATAGCTGCGTTGCCAAAGTGACTGATTGAATGCATTGCAACTATTCCAATGTCAGTTCCTGGAGTCGTCCAGCAGTCAGCCGGATGCATGACTTACGCCGCACAACGGAGGAGTCTCCGTGGACGCGGGGGTATCAACTGTTTTGGACAAACCCCACACGCCTTGACACCACGCCAAAAGTAACAAAATAAAGGCAAAGAATTTCATGGTTTCTAGTCCCAGCTTTGAAGGGCTGGAAACGGAATTCGAAGAAGACGAAGGAAGGAAGAAGGAGAAGAGACGGAGAAGGAGGAACGAATGAATGACTGAATCCCGTCGGTATGAAGACTTATTCAATGCTCTTTCATCTTTTGATCCAAGAGGCCCCAAATCTGTGCCACATCTGCCGGCATCCCGGCGTACGTTATTGTTTCCATTTCATCGAAGACAAAACCAGGTTCTAGGAAGTTAGCTGGCAGCAGGGTTTCTTTCGATTTGTGGGCGGGTGCCCATCGACAGACACGGGACGCGTTGAATCATTGATTCAACTGCGTCAGACGGGCCCTGATCTTTCTGACTTCCCATGGCGAGAGAGTCCCTGTTGGTCTTTGCCACTTCTTGGCGAAAATCACCAAGCCCTACTAGCTCGATTGGTATATCTACCCTTGTGCATAATCAACGCCCCCTAATCATCTATGTAACCCTCTCTGAAAGTCATTTTAGACATCAAACTTCGAAAGCGGCAAGGCGAGCATGTTGCATTCCTTCTTCTCCTGAAAGACCGTTGCCAAACACGTCAAATATGGAGCGGCCAGCCTTCCGGGATCCCATGTCTAGCGGGGTGCATCGTGAATTATGACAGACAGGGATCTGTTTCAGACCCTGCGACTGGACCACGTGCTGGTCATCCTAGACTCTGCCATTACGACTTCAAGCCCACAGACTGTGGATTGAGCTGGTGAGGCAGCACGGAAGCAGACTGCGAGGGCGGTGGGATGCAGTAATCGCGAAGGAATCGCGAAGACCCTGCGTAGTGGATGTTTCTATCACAAATTCTTCTTGTATTCCATGCCCGGTTTTTGTTGGAGATCTTCGTTGTAAAGTGCTCGAATAGGGTTCAGGAATACAAGGGGGACGAGAATTTGCCCAATTGCGTCTGACACTGCCACAAGTGCTGGGGCTCGTAGGAATCTGCCCCTGATGTCTTGCGGATGGGCAGCACATCGCGTCTGTTGAGCCATGGAACCGGAACCACTGCACCGTGCAGGGGCACCGACCAGCGGTGTGCGGTTTAGTCGGGAAGCGTGAGGCCCGAATCGGCACTCTTGTGGACGTCGGCACCTCAATGCAACTCTGTAAGCCTGGGCTCTTCTCCAGTCTAAATTCCTACCAGTCGATCAGTGGGCAGTCAAATTGTGCAACTTCACAAGTGCTGATGCTCACGCTAGGAGACGTTGACTGAAGTTTGCTGCGTTCCCGGAGAGTCCGTCAAACTTTTGGAGACCTCAAAGTTCAAAAATGGGGCTATCGGGGAATTCAAATGCAGATCCTTCGAGTTATCAATTCTGGGCTGCCTCGAAATGACAATTGCTCAATTTCAAAGGGTTACATGCTGGCCAGGGGTTATTCGAGCTAAACTGGTAAAGTTTACTTGACAACAACCAACCAGGCAACCCCAACTTACATTCTGGGAAATGGGAGTCGCCCTTTCCAACAGATTGATACCAGATCCCCAATGAGTAGAATTGAGATTGAGCAGCTACGAAGCCTGAGTAGATCTTTTTCCTATCATGATGAGGAAGGCGAAGTCCCGGTGGGATTTGGGGGCCACTGCCATGAAGCCTACGATACCTGACCACCCATGTGTTTCTCCTGGCCGGCTGTCTTCCGATGCCCACGATTAGGCCAACCCGAGTTGATCCCAATGTTTGGTTTCCGCACGTCGCGGAACCAGCGGCCCGTCAAACTTCCATAGTAAAAGGAACTGGCCAAGAATAATGTTCCGATTTCCAATCCTCCACCTCTAGATCATTGACACAAGCCCACCGGCAACCGTCAGTCATCCATCGTCACTCTTTCAACCCCACGTCATATCATTCGATTCTCACACTCTTTTTGACTTGGCCGCTTCAAAATGAAGCTGCATTACGCTCTCTCTATTCTGCCCTGTTTCGGCAGCGGCGTCCTTGGGTTCCCCGCATACGCAGCTGATGCTCTCAGAGAGGAGCTCTCATCCAAGCTCTCCGGACACATCGCCAGCGCCTTTCACGAGGTACATGAGAAGAGGCTTCTATTCGACCCATTGACAACACCTATCGATGTAACCGGCGACCACAAGTTCATCGCACCCGACTTCAAGAATGGCGCCCAGCGTGGTCCCTGCCCGGGGCTCAACGCTTTGGCGAACCATGGCTACATCAGCCGCAAGGGTGTGACGAGCTTAGTCGAGGTCACGGCCGCTATCAACACTGTGTTTGGCATGGGATTGGAGCTTTCAACAATTTTAGGAGTGATGGGAACTGTTTTTGTCGGAAACCCTCTGTCTCTTAACCCAGGTTTCTCCATTGGAGATGCTGCCAGCGGATCCAACAACATCTTGGGCAATCTGATCGGTCTCCTTGGTACGCCTCGTGGACTGAATGGCTCCCATAACATCATCGAGGGTGATTCATCCAACACCAGAGCCGACCTGTACATGACGGGAGACGCTTCCACCATGGTCATGGAGCAGTTCCAGTCCTTCTACGACATGTCGTCAGGCGAGGGCGATTACAACTTTGAGTTATTCGCTGACAGGGCCTCTATTCGCTTCAACGAGACTATTGCAACCAACCCGAACTTTTACTATGGTCCTTTTACCGGTATGATTGCTCGAAACGCGGGCTTTTTGTTTGCTTGCCGCTTGTTTGCGAACCACTCCGCGGAGAATCCAACTGGTCTCTTAAGTAAGTTGTCAGCCTTTGTTAGAGAATGGACTGATGTACTGATTCCCTTTAGACAAGGCAACTCTGAAGAGCTTCTTCGCCGTAGAGGGTGAAGAGGGCAATCTCACGTACAACAGAGGCTGGGAACGTATTCCAGAGAACTGGTACCGTACGCCGGTGGACTACGGTTTGGTCCAGCTGAACTTGGATCTTCTCGCCTGGATTGCCAAGTACCCTGAGTTGGGAAGGTACGTGTACTCTATGTACCCAAGTCAAAAGATTATCAAGCAACATGCTAACGAGTCTCCCACTACAGTATCGGCGGAAACATGGGAAAGGTCAACAGCTTTGCGGGAGTCAATCTCGCCGACCTTACCGGGGGTGTCCTGAACCTCACCAAGCTGTTGGAAGGCAACAATCTGCTGTGCTTTGTCTTTGAGATTCTCAAGACCGCCTCACCAAACTCGCTGTCTACAATCTTCACCATCATTGAGGCGCCTCTCAAGCTTGTCACCGACACTGTTGGCGCTGCCATCCTCAACTTGGCCTGCCCGGCCTTCAAGGATATGACTGTAGGCGGAAAGAGTCTTGATGAAGGCCTCAAGGAACAATACCCCGGCGCGAAGATGGCTGACAACATCCTTTGAGACAGTCATCCTTGTCTGTGAGTGCCATGATACGCAGTCATGTAGAACCAACCCTGTATAAGCGACAAGACTTTTACCAGCCGATATATATCCTATTTAATTCATAATCATGCTGCTGAAGCAGTACCCTTGCTCCCAGTTTGCTCTTCGCATTTTAGGAAAGACTTAAGCCTTGGAAGTGCTTGACTAAAGAGTGACTCAACGGCCACCAATAACACAACATCATAGCTGTACTTTATCATCGAAGCGAGAGTAGTGTATTGGCGTAGGAACCTCGCCGTCATAGTTTTAGTGATCATTGATTACGTTGTGAAGTACATGTCAAGTAAGCATGCTTACGGTAATCATCCTAATTGTTGATATAGCCATGGCCCCAACCGCTCACGAGCTTGAGAAACTGCGGTTAGCCACAAGTGGAAGCAAACGCGGTGTATAGTTCGTGCGAGCACATGTTTGCAATCAGATTCATAGACTCAGCTTCAACTCATCATCATTTCGTCATTGATCTTCTAATCTACATAGTCCATTCCGAACCTTTTGGTACTTTTACAACTTAGCGTGCTTCTCGTTAACCAGAACGTATCTGTAACGAGCGTGGCCTTGTTCCATGTCAACAATGGCCTTGTTGGCGTCCTTAAGCGGGCGCTTCTGGACCCAAGGCTTGACCTTCTTCTCGACAGCGAGCTCAAGCATCTCCCTGATGTCGGAGGGAGAGCCAATACCGCTGCCACCAACCTTGATACCGCTGGCGAGCAGAGTGAAGGCGTTGATGGGAGGCAGGTTACCACCGTCGGGGGCACCGACCTGGATGAAGGTGCCGTAGACCTTCAACAGTCTAAGGTACTGTTGCAGGGGCATCTTCTCGCTGGACACGGTAGAGATGATGAGATCGATGCTGCGGGCGTTGGTCTTGGACCAGTCCTTGTCGTCGTCGGTCGCAATGTACTCGTCAGCTCCAAGCTTCAGGACCTCGTCCTTCTTGGTGGCCTTTCTGGAGATACCAATGACCTTGTCAGCGCCGAGGGCCTTGGCGAAGAGCACAGCAAAGTGGCCAAGACCACCAACACCAACGACACCAACAGTCTTTCCAGGTCCGCACCCGTTCTCCTTCAACGGGGAGAAGACTGTGATGCCACCGCAGAGCATGGGCGCAGCATCCTCAGAAGGAATACCATCCGGGATCTTGATGACGAAGTGTCCATTGGTTCTGTTGTAGTCGGCATAGCCACCCATTGCCTTGCCCTCACCATCGGGGTAGACGGAGCCGTAGGTGCTGATGTTGGCACGGCCGCAGTAGTTTTCGCGTCCGATGGAGCACTCGGGGCAGTCGGACTTCATGCAGGAGCGAGCCTGGGCACCGACACCTACGCGGTCACCAACGGAGACGTGCTTCACGTTCTTGCCGACGCGGACGGCCTTGCCGACGATCTCGTGTCCGACGCAGCAAGCTGAGAAAAGGAGCACAGGTTAACAAAGAACAATTGACAAATTGCTGCTTGAAAACCCCGCGTTTTGAGTCGAGGCGGGGTAAAGAGGGAAAACTCACGATAAGGGGTCTCAGCCCAGCCCGAGCGGAGCATGTGAAGGTCAGAACCGCAGATACCGCAGTGGGAGATCTCGATGTCGACGTCGTCTTCAGTCCACTTCTTGGGCTCGAACGCGCCCCATTCCATCTTTCCGTTGACGCTGTCGGGGCTGTGGCCGAGCCATCCTTCAAACTTGATGTCGGACATGATTGTGTGTGTTGTGTTTGTGATAAGCTGACTCGCGTTGTTGATATGGTACTGTCGGAGTCGATTTTCGTCTTCAAAACTTGTAGAGCACGAATTGATCAGGCAGTAACTACCAGCGACTTGGTGAGGGGGGCAGAGTTTATGTATGAACTTTTAGAATACAAAGCACCGAGGCCACGGTCCATGACGGCATCCACAGATGCCGCGAGCTAGGGCCCATTCCCCTTCGTTCATCATGTCATCAAGAACTCTCTTGACCGGAGCTAGCTGGAGTTAAGACGGCACTATACCGAGTTTAAACAGTTCAATGAGCTTGCCGGCATATCTACGGAGCCTTCCGACGCCCAGGGGCAGCCGTCAATGCCGCGGATGGGTTCGTTTTCTTTTTTGGTGGTTCTACTCAGCTTTTGGTCTGGCCTTTCTGGCGGTGTCAAGCTTCCATACTCGCAGGTGCTTGGGCCGGAAAGGACTAGCTTCGCCCGCCACTTCAGATGATGACGCAGAGAGGAGGGGTGGAAATCTTCAGTGGGTTTTGTTCTTGGCAACTGAGACATGTAATTGGATTAACTTGTTCTAACCCCAATGCCCCTCCACGGTCAAAAGTCCGGATTTCCTTTGGCCGCGGGGGCTCGCGCGAGTCAGATAAGCTACGTGAATTAGCTGACGTTTCCAGCATGAAGCCCCACGGTGTCCGTGGATGAGGTTCAATTGTTCGATTCCATGCTGTTGTGCGGCGTAGCACAGCCTGTCAGTGACCTGGGGCAATGCAGGCCAAGCGTCAAACCCGTATGTACTCCGTACCTCGTACGCTTCCTCCCGAGCCAGACACCAGCATGCATGGAGCTTTTCCATTCTTTTCTGCTGCAGCCTGCTGACGGAGGCGCTGACAGACGTTCTTCTTGGCTTGCTGGCTTTAGCTAGTTCCCTTGTCATCCCATGGAAACATGTGCGTTAGTATGCTTGGTATGCACTAAGGTGCTTATTGCCGATCGTCCGGGACGACGGCGTCGCGTATCATTCGATCGCATCGCAGATTTGCAGAATAGCCTTTGATTCCCCCTCAACTAGCCTGTGCCATTTGTGTTGCGCCGCTTCCGCGGCATCATTACAAATTCCTAGGTATATCCATCGGTGATAGGCGATGAGGAGGGTTACTATCGGCGTTTACCTTGCATGGATGATTGATTTAGCGGTGAAGCTTGTGCCTGTCTCTCGTTTCTAATGTGCCTACCCGTAGCTTCTACCAAGTTATTCTTATGCTCCCGGACTTAAGAGCACTAAACTCTACGACGACGAGCCGAGGTGCAGCATAATACCAGGAAACTCAATTAGTAACCATTTTAGTGTTTCTGTGCTTACGTCTGGTTCCCATACTAGAGCGATGTAGCGACAATCACACACTCGGTCTAGGAGCTTGGGAGCGAGATTTAGTGGGTTTTCCCCGTGGAAGAAAACACAGTTCTCTTTGATCATCAACCGTGACGTCGATGGTTACACAAAACATCAAGTATTACCGAAAGAGCATACGTTAGCCAGGAGCAAACAGTTGAATTCATTCTTCATGAATCAAAGTACTAAGTAAGTATGAACATGAAGGTCAAGTATTTACATCTGGTTCAATCAAATGGGCATGGAACCCAGACTGAACCCACCCCCACCTCTACCCCGCCATCCCCGAAAGTGCCGTACCCTCTCCATCCCTTGCTTGTTGCTCACGATAGAGAGCGGGCGATTAAAGAAGAATCCCGTAATTTCTCAGAGACATTGAGAGTAGTAGTCATTCGACTTGGTACAGACGTAGGGAGACTGGCAAGTAGTAGGCCCGGTCCAGCCAATACCACCGCACTGGCCCCAGCGGACCTGTCCGGCGCCAGAGGCAGCACTACTCGTAGTCGCAGCAGCAGACGTAGTAGTCGTAATCAGAGTCGTCGCGCGCGAAGTCGTAGTCGGAACGGCACCAGTAGCAGCAGCAGCAAGTACAGACGAAACAGACGTGTACGCAGGCTTCTTGTTGAAGCTGGCGTCCCACAGAAGGGCATCACCGGCACCGCTGAATGTCTCAGGGATCCAGCTGTACTTGTCGGTGAAGCCCCAGATGGTGACGCCGACGCACCCGGCAACGTCCAAGCAGGAACCGACGACGTTGGCGTAGTCGTTGCCCTGTGTGACGAGGGCGGCGCTGGAGGCGGGCAGGCTGGAGTGGCGGATGTCGAGCTCAGTGTAGGCGACTTCGAGGCCGAGGGCGGTGAAGCGGCGGAGGGCGGTCGCGAGGGCGCTGCGGCCCGGGGTGGAGCCCACGATCAAGTGACCCTGGAAGCCAACACCGTCGATGGGTGCGCCGGCGTTCTGGACGATGGTGACGGCTTCGTAGACGCGGTTGGTCTTTGCGCCGTTGTACTCGAGGTTGTAGTCGTTGTAGTAGCTGGGTCCTTCCATTAGTGATTGAGTGGTAAGAGGCAGGGGACTCTCTGGCTTACAGCTTGGCATTGGGATCAGCAGCCCTGGCAGCTCTAAAGGAGATGGGAAGGTAGTCGGTGCCGAGGACGGTGTAGAAGACGCTGGTGCGCCAGCTTCCGTCGTCTGCTGCTGCTTCATTGACGACATCCCAGGCGTAGCACTGGCCGAGATAGTGCTTTAGAACGTTGGAAATATGCGTGTTGATGACGGCAGTCAGGGTTGCTGCTGTCCATGATCCGCTCGAGACCCAGTTAGGGAGTTGAGAGTGCCTGGTTCCTGGTCAGAGTTGTGCACCACCAATGCTCATACTAAAGGGATGTTTACCATGTCAAGGTGTGGCATCTCAAGATCTGGCCGTTCGCCTTTGCAATATTCGGAATCTAGGCGAAATCACCGAGTCAGCCCGCGCTCAGTCTAATGGATCTAGCCAAGCCCCCATGCCCTGGCGCATCACGTACAATGTCTCCCGAGGTGTAAGAGAAGGTGTTATGAGTAGGCTCGGTATACGCCCATTTTTGTCCGTTCTCAGGTACCAGGGAACCAAACTCGGCAGTGTTGTTCACAATTGCCATGTAGGCGGCATCCGTAGTTGTGCGGCGCTCATCGACGGCCGTGCCGAAGTACTTCAGACCGGCGCGGACGGCAAGGGTGTTGAGCTGAGCCGAAACGAGGCCGGAGCCCAACAGAACCGCGAGAACAGCCTTGGCGTACATGATGTTCGACTTTCTGATTCTGATTGATGGTCGATGAGCTGAGCGATGCGCACACGTCTGACAACTAGAGCATCATCTCTTATCGACATCTTCCCTGGGGTGGGCACCGTAGACTTATACATGATCCTGAACAAACTCCATCGCGAGGGAGGTCTGACCTGGGGTCACATTGCATGCTGCTTTCACCCTTTGTCTCTTGGCTCTCACTAGGTTGGCTGGCCATCGAACATGACTTTGGAATATTCCTGGATTCTCGACTTTCCCACGTGGGGTGTGGCATCGCCGGCCCGAAGGATGTGCTTCCCGCTGCTAACACACCCACGCAAATATTGGGGAAATTATCGTGGTGGTTCAGCGTCAAGCAGGAAGGACCCTCAGATCTCCTGCAGAGGCATTCATCCTTTTTACCCGGAGTGAACCTCTCCCAGCTCGATCGCGTCATGTGCAAACCCGCTGGAGAACTATCATTTGTCTCATTGCACCAGATGGGCATACTGGCCGCGCAAGTCAGACGGAGCAACAGCAGCAGTGCCGTGGCCATGTCTGGCAAACTGACTTGGCGCTCGGAGGGTGCTCCGAGAATTCCTGTGCCTGGGCTAGCGCGAGGGGGAGAAAGTGGGCATCCCGCCTGCGCCGTAGGCTCATTTCCAAGATTTCTTTTTTGGCGCGTGTGAACGCGGGGTTGTTGTGCAGACGGAGGGAACCAGAAGAAAAGGTTGACAGAGAAGAGGAAAGTTGTCCGTAATGTGCAAGTGGCAGGCATCGACAAGCTCATTTCAAGTTCCGGGCCCAGAAACCGGGATCTGAGAAAATTCCACCAGTAGCCACCCACGCTGCCATAATGAGGTCCAAGATCGAGGGTCCTTAATGAACGCGTCGATATTTAGAGAACCGTGGCTACGGGAGAGTCAAGGGTTGACCCAATGCCGGATTCCCATATCAGCCTGAATATCTTTTTCTTCGCCTTCCCCTTGGAGTTACATCGCAGCAGGCGTCTAGTGCTTGGCAGGACAGCCAATTTGAAAGGCGGATATGCGCGTGTGAAGTCGTGAACGGAGATTCACGGCCAACGCCGGCCACCACTGCCTGAATGTGGAGATCGGGGGATGCGATGAGGAGCGAACAACCTAAGTACGCAACGATAGGAAGCCCCGTCACGGCTATCTGAGCAAATTTGTGCGCATTATGTCCATCATGAACAGGCCTCATGGTAATTAGAAGACATATAGATTTTCGCGACGGAAGTCGAAGTAACCGCGATTCTTCTCCCACTCTTTCAGGTGGTCTGTTTCCAACAACATTTTCCCCACATCACACAAAACTTCAACACAAATTTGCGCACCACAATTGTCTATCGCCAAATGACTCTCGTGGAACTCTCATGGACACTAGCTATTCCAGCAAAATAGTAAATAGCGCCCGTGGCAAAAGGTTCTTGATCAGTGGGAGGCTTGAACTCCCGGCCTTGGCATTACACAACATTTCAGGTGAAATATTAGTACCACGCTCTAACCAACTGAGCTAACCGACCCGTTTCTGAATTGAAGGTAGACCGCTGAATTGCAAGTATCAATGGAAGGGTCCCTCGGCCCCACAAGGACAACCAACCAGCTTGTTGATCAGAAATAGAGCAAGGAGCCACAGTCGAGACAAAGCTGCAGCAATTTGTCTCGCTGAAATGCGCTTCTTTGACGAGTTGCTCATGTCTTTTCCATCTTTCTTCATGAATATGTGGTTCGATAGATCAATGGTTCTACTCTACCAGAGTAGTCTAGAAGTTAAGTGTTGAACATGTGGCAAAGAACCCGCTTCTGTTTGGGCCTATCTTGAATCCTCTCACAACTTCATGTCAGAATCAACAACTCTTTGAAATTTTGCGGTAGAATAGCAAAGAAAGATGTTTGATTCTTATATAGATAAACTCGAGAGATCTCGTATGTCTACAATAAACTTGGTCACAACAGCTTTAGTAAAATCCAGTCCACACTTGTCTTTCAATAACATTGAACAGCAACTTACGCTAAGGTAGAGCAAGCTCAGTCGTTTATTAGCCCACGATGCCGTTTGACTCTGAGCGCAGTCGATCAGAAGTACCATCCTCCTCAACCAACCGCACGCTTCCGGGTAGTCGGCGTTTACGTCGTCGGCCTGGTAACTTTTCCTTGAGAGTTTCCATCCAAGGCATTGCCCTCGATGCAGCGAGTTCGGTAGGAGACAGTGGCATCAACGACTCCGAGTCGATCGCAACCACCGGCACCGTTATCAGACTTCCTGACCTAGAGTGCTATCTGGGTCAAGGTTCAATGTCGATCGAGTGTGAGGTAGATGGCCATTTCGTCATTACGCCTTTGCGTCCGACTCGTACCAACAACACTAGCGCGACCTCATCGGATGCAGGCTCTCTGGTACCCTCCTTGATCAGTCGTCCTACCCATTACCCCTCCAACAGATCAAACATGTCACCTCGAGAGTCTATGCGAGGCCGTCCGCGCTTTGCGAACAGTCCGACGCTTGGCTGGGAACCATCCCGCCGACGATTTGGGTTCCACAGCGAGCCGTCCCCGGCATCTCTTCGCTCGCGACGGATGGAGATGTTTCATCGGGACAGGGTGCATGTAGCTGCAGTCCCCTCAATGCAGGTGTATCCAGAGATCAGCAGTGTTTCCAACAGTTCCCAGCGACTCTCCGTGTCCCCGATAACTCCTCCGCCACAGTACCCCGGACTGGTGCACATTGCCGGGACTGAAAGCTGGACCTCCAGCCCGGAAGAGCAGCAGGCCCTGGAGGCTACTGCAGATGACTTTATTGGTATGTGGAATTCTCGCGGTTGATCACTGAAATGAGGTAAATGGTGCTATCAGATCACTTGGGCGTTTGAGGCGTTGTCGTTTACAAGGCAAGGAAGTCTGTGTTTGGAATTAGGAACTGTGAAGAAGGTTACCAGGACGGCCTTCATATGGAATATTTTCGTTATTAAAAATAAGATAGTCGTGTGAGGTTCTGAAGTCCCCCATTGTCATCATACTTAGAGACAGATCCGCGTGTTCTATAGAAGAAACAGGCAAAAACTAGCGTAGCAACTCAGCAAGCGAGTCTCACTGTCGCTTGGTAAAGCTCAACTGGCACTCATCCTTCAGAAAAGAGTTAGCATCTGCGAAGTTAGAGACTGAGACATGACCAGACACTCACCATTGGAAATAATGTAGCAAACACCCTAATCTCCTCCGACTTCTCCGTGGCATGATGCTTCCAATCAATCTCCAACGCCGCCTTGCCAATCATGGCAGCCATCGTCAGTGGCACATACCTCCTCGCAAGGCAATCATGTGGTCCAGCACCGAACACGAGCCAGTTCTTGGTCTTGGACTCGGCGTCTCCAGTGATCCATCGGTCAGGGTCGAAAAACTCGGGGTTCGGGTAGACATTGGGGTCGTGGAGGGCTGGGTAGCATGACGGAATGATCATGGATCCCTTGGGGACGGTATACTTCGGCGTAACAGGGAAGTTCTTGGTTGCAAGATAGGGAACGAAGATGACGGGTGGCCGGAGACGGAGGAGCTCCTTGATGACGGCGTTGGTGAAGGTGAGCGATTCCAGCATGGGGAGGTCAAAGGGCTTGGTGCTGTCGCCACCCCTTGCGGCTAGGTTCTCTTCGCGAAGGCGCTCAACAACGTCTGGTCTTTGCGCCAGGACTTGGAAGAGCCATGTCGTAGCACTGCTAGACGCATCCTGGGATGCGAAGAGGAAGGTGAAGAGCGTCTCTGAGATTTCCTCATTGGTGAATTCCCTGATCATGTTTGAAGGTCTCACAGCATCGGTGTCGCCAGCAGCAACCTTCTCGCGATACTTATTGGACTCCATCATGTGCAGAACCCAGTGGTCAACAATGGATGCCGGAGTCGCGCCCTTGGCCATGTTGGCTTTACACGCGGCCGCGCACTTTGCAAACTCAGCGTGGACCTGGTCAGCCACGCGCTTTCCGAGCCAGACTTTTGTTCCGGGAATGTACATAGAGAGAGGAACGTTGACAAGCTCGAGTGCTGCGGTGACGAGGTAGAAGTCGTCGGCAATCTTCTTGACGGCGTCTTGAGAAATGTAGTCGCCGAAGAAGGTACGGCACGAGAGCGCGCAATTGATCTCGCGGAAGAGAGCCATGTAAGCCATGGGATTTCCGTTGTTTGCCTCGCTTGCGGCAACGAACTTGTCAAAGTACTCGCCCAGCACCTTCTCGTGAACTGGGAGGTATGTTGCCATTGCCTTGTTGGTGAACAGGGGCATCAGGCCTCTCCGGTACTCGGCATGCTCTTTGCCCTGAAGAAAGACCCAGGCTTTGTGGCCGAGGATATCTTTGGCGATGGGGACGATACATGGCTCGGCGTAGGCTGGAGACTTGAAGACTTTGTGGGCGATGTCGCGATCAGAAGCAAGAACAACGAACCTGAGATATCAATGATCAGGGCATGCACCTAAGTGACCTTGAGGACTTGCTTCTTTGACTGAGCTAAAGTACTTACTTGTGGAAGACTGACACGCAGCTGAGGGGACCGCTCGCCCATTGGGCAAGGTACTCCTCGAATTTGGGGTGTAAAGCCTGGATGAAGGGTCCCATGAGGGGGATCTTGTACGCAGGTCCAGCAATTGAGCCTTTCCTCTTGAGATACATCACTGGCAATATGTCAGTCTTTTTCTTGTGGTCTTTGAGGAGCTCAAGGTCTGCTCGTACCCTGATCGTACACGACGACGCCAAGAAGGAAAGTGACGATGTACTGCCATGTTGACCAGCCCGAAAAGAAAGCCGGCAGCGTGCTAGGCGACAGAACCGTCTCATTAGACCATGTTTGCCTTACTCCAGGCTGTACGATAGGCGTGCCGACGATTGCTGAAGCCATGTTAAAGTCTACAACGGTGTTGCTGGACCGTCTTTCCCGCCAGGAGAGCATCTAAGGGACATCTCAGCACCTCTTTAAAGGAAGCCAGTAGACCCATCAAAACGTCAAAGGGGGTTTCGTCTTGCGTATTCGTATCCTGTAAACACCATCAAGCACAATCTCATTTCAACTGGTCTCTGTGTAGTTAAACCACATGCAGAACATCGTTCGTCTCTCTTCCCAAACCGCCGAACAAGCCAGCCCTGTGAAGTCTTGGCATCTCATCGACCTGCGGAGACTAAACCTCTTTCGGTAATCAACTTGACGTTTGTCAGCAAACAAAACTGGAGTTTGACAAGGGGGGGAACTGAGCAGCGAGATCCCTCACAATTGAAACTGCGGCGACTAAACCCCTTTCGGTCAGGACACCGCAAGAAACGAACTCTCAAGCGGGAGCAGCTCTTCAGTCTTTCGCGGGTACGCGGGCGAAGCTCTCAGACCATTGTCTCCACCATTGGATCACTTTCATCTCTCTCTCTCTCCTTTCGACCTCACGGAGGGACCATCGACTCACTCCAGTCCAATTCTTCCATGTTCTCATCGCCCCCAGTCCAGTCGATCTCGCACAAACATGCGCCAAACCCTCCGTCGGTCCTGTGCTGCGTGTGCAAAGTCTAAACACAGCTGCGACCTCCGCACGCCGCGGTGCTCCCGCTGCATCAAGCGCAAGGTCCTGTGCGCCTACGCCAACGAACCCCTGACGGCTGCTCCGGCTGCTTCCGGGTCCGCACCGGGGGGTAGCGCAACATCGTCGCCGGGACCTCCGCTGGACGGATCCGGTGCTTTGACCAACTATCGTTTTGGATCTCTTGATCCTTTTGACTCTTATCCTCAAACTAGACTGCCGCGGCAGCAAGTTCAACGTCTTATTCATAGCTGTATGCCTATTACGACTAAACCTGTCGATCCACGTCTAGCTCATTAACCCATGTAGTTCTCCACAAGATCGCGTTCGAATACTACCCTCTAGATCTGAACGCGACGTCAAATCCATTCCTCGTCTCATGGTGGCCATTAGCTCTCGGTGATCCAGCATTATTTCACGTCTCTTTACAAACAGCATGTCTTGACGAAGAGTTGCTGGCTCAAAAAGGATTTCAGTCATCAGAAATTCTGATGGCGGATTCAGTTGCTCTACTTCGCCGGAAGGTTCAAGACGACTCAATGGCCATTCAAGATGGAACCATGAATTCAGTCATCACTTTAGCAGCTATCGAGGTGAGCTTGGCCTTGTCCATTTCAGCCAGAACCTCATGACGATTCGATGCTGTCACATGCTTACTTACTCTCTTCATGCAAACCAGTTTGGCAAAGGAAATATCCAAGTTAGCGAAATGCACGTTGATGGAGTGAAGAGACTTGTCAATATGCGAGGAGGCATCAACTCGGTGAGACAAACCAGTCCACTAACTGCAAGGATGGTCAGCTGGTACGTTGAATACAAGCTCTATAGCACAATATTTGCGTACTGACGTTGCCTGACCTCGAAGGGTGTCGATGATTGTTACCGGCCTGCCTCAGTTTGAAACGCAGAACGACGTAGGCATTGGCGACGGTGTCCCTACGCCTCCTGAATGGCAGATAGATCCAACTATTTTGGACAGTGATCTATCCCATCTCGGCGATGTTGAGATCGAAAACGAGGTCGAAAACGTTTTAATACGGCTTCGGAGTATTTTTCGCCGCGCGCAGAAAGCACCGCTACAACCAACAAGACTACATGACCTATCATGTTTTGTCATACACCGACTTCTGTTGTCAGCTCCAGAAGTGGTAGAGCCACATTCGGCATCTAGTGAAACTATCCGACTGGCGACTATACTCTACATCTTCATCATCCAGGGTCCGACGTATTACTCACACGCCGTCATATTCAACACGATTGTCAATCGGCTGATGGAAAGCCTGGCGGAGCTCGTACCATACGCTCACTCCAGCAACATTCTCTTCGTTTGGCTTCTGACTGTAGGCATGGTTGCCTCGCAGGGAACCCAGCACTACACCTGGTTGATTGGCTTGGCAAGAGATGCTGTGGCACTGGCCCAAGTAAAAAGCTGGGTTAGTGTACTTGCCTGTCTTAGAAGTGTTCTCTGGCTGGACATAGTCCACGGCGAAGACATCTTCCGACCCCATTGGGAGACTATTTTCGGCTGTTTAAATTGAAAGAAAATCCATACGCCTGATTGAGTCTCGGATAAATGTTTCAGTATTGACTGAACACAACGCAAAGCTGGTCAAACTTAGGACATGACCGTCATTATCTCAATATTGGAGCGAGAGAGGGACTAGGTCAATATCATGCAGGCAGACGAAGCCTTCAGATCTAAAATGCATTTTGTTTGGTAGTGGGCTCCGCAATCAATCGCATTAACTGCGGAGAGCCGGGCTTGGCTATGTCCCGTGATCACGTGGCATGCTATTTGGACCGTGGTGATGAAAAGCACCCAACTTGGACGAAATCAATCAGGAGCATATTTCTTGAGTTCACTGCACATTATTTAGTGTGTCATGAGACAAGTCGCTCGCTTCATACGCATCCAGAAGTTCAAAACGCCTTCTTCTCGCTGTACATTTGAGAAATGAGACATTAACCGATTCTACCCTACTGAAGCAATCACGCTGGCTGGCTGATCTCTCCTCGGCGTGTTGGACCCAGTTGGATCATGCCATCTGCACTGGTAAGGGGCGGCGGTTGGCCGCATACAAGCGACCTCAAATCGAATTTATTGTTTCTATTGGCCAACAAGAAGACTCAAAAGGGCATTGGGCAGTCCAGCCGCATTTCCCCCTCATCGAAATCTTGCCGCCACAGTTGGCAGCATTTTCTTGCCATTCTCACATCATTTCTGAATCAGTGGATCAGAAACAATGGGTTTGAGTCTGAAGAAGAAGTTGAAGGACCTCATCCGTGGTCCAAAGAAAGATGACGCCCCCAAAGAACCACTTCGCGCCCACCCGAATCCACGGCAGCAGGCGAGTGCGCTCGCGGAGAAGGCACCTAGCTCCTGCACGACCGGTTCTTCGGGAACAGCGCAATCGATTTCAGCCAGCGAACCATCAAATACGCTCCAAGAAGATACACGAGACGAGCCGACCGCGAAGTTAATGCCTTCCCAAAACAGTGAAGGGTCTATTCGGCAGTTGTGGGACGTGGCATATCAAAACCTGCGAAATCAAGAAGAGAGTCTCGTCCAAGAGTTCGAGGACCAGATATGCGGCAACTTGGCTGCTGGCCTTGGTGTCGGCGTACGTTCACATGCCGGAACGAAAGACTGGTTGGCAACGATCCTCAAGCACAAGATGGATCAAGTCAACCGGGAGTCTTGGAAGTTGAAATTTGGCAGCTCCGAGGTGGAAGTCCAGGATGTTGTAAAGCCCGTCCTAGCCGTGGTCGACTGGGCCAATGATTTCGTTGCCAAAGCTCTGGTCTCAAATCCATACGCGTCGATTGCCTGGAGTGGTGTGAGCTTGTTACTGCCGGTAAGCTACTACCTTTCACATTCGCTACCTGGTCTGGGAGACTGACGTATCTTGGATGATCTGCACAGCTGCTTCTGAATCCCTTGGATCAAGCCGCCGCTCTGGCCAAGGGGCTTGAGCACATATCGTCCCTCATAGTACGAAGCTCTATGTGGGAAGATCTCTATGTCCGGCGTTACGAGTCTAAGACCAGCGAGGCTTCGCCGGAGCCGCATGCTGCTTACAGACTCGTCTTGGAAAGACTGTACAGAGAGATCCTCAAGTTTCAGATTGTTTGCTATCGCTACCACAACCATAAAACTGCCTCTCGCATGGCGCTTGATTCTGTGAAGCATCATGACTGGGAAGAGCTGCTTGAACAGATCAAATATCACGAGACCGAATTCGACAAAGTAAGCAATCATGTGCGGGACCAGGCGTATACGGACGAATGGGAAATCGCAGAGGCGCGGCATCAAAAAGCCATGAACCATTGGGAAAGGATTGGTACAGATGTTTCCGATCTGAGAAGAAGGATTGAGGAAATCCAGAACGATGAGAAGCGCAAAGAATTGCTCAACTGGCTTTGTACCGTTGACCCTTCTGTGCAGTACAATGCCGCGCGTAGTAAACACCGCAGTGGCACTTGCGAATGGCTAATTCAAGATAACGAAGATTTCAAGACGTGGGAAACAGCTCCAAAGTCTTTCTTGTGGCTCAACGGCAAAGGTATGACACGCAATAGTCGTGTGATAGGTGATATTCTTTTCATACCGCTGACAACATCTAGCTGGCTCCGGCAAATCGATTCTGAGCTCATCGGTCATCAAAAACTTGAAAGAAAAGTCAGAAGAGAATCCTCAAGTTGCTCTTGCGTACTATTTCTTCAGCTTTGGGAACTTGGAGCAACAAAAGGTAACCGTTATGTTATCTTCGCTTATTGGCCAGTTTTGCGCGAGGCGTCCCGATACGCCACAGCCGATCAAAGAATTAGAGAGTTTCATCATCAAAAGAGAGCGTCCAGATACGGAGACACTTGAGAATGCACTTAGAGCTGCCGTTCGTGGGTTTTCAGCGGCATACATTGTTGTAGACGCTCTCGATGAGTGCCCGATTCTTGACGGGGAGCGAACGAGGCTTATGGACTGCCTCAGTAAGATCATTTCCAAAATGCCGGATAATCTCCATATCTTTTGTACGAGCAGGGCCGAGCCGGACATTCGTACTAAGTTCGAAGAAATGCCGTCTTTGCCAACAAAAAACACCATCAGTCTCATGAAAAGTCAGGCGGGCTTAAATAGTGATCTAAGTCTGTACATCGACGCCACCTTAGCTACTGGAACGTACAAACTTTGGCCTCCCGAGATCAAGACCGAAGCCAAGGAATCATTGCTCGCGAAAGCGGATGGAATGTAGGTCAAGATAGTGGAGTGAACCACTCGACTTCATGGCGAAAGACTGCAACTAACACGGAGTTAGGTTTCAATACATTGTCAGCCAGTTCGAAGTTCTCCAAAAGTTGAATTCGAGAGAGAAAATACGTTCAGAACTTCGGAATTTGCCATCAGGACTTGACGCAACATATAATAGGCTCCTTCTCGACCTAGACCCCAATTTCCAACCTCAGATCCTAGACTCGCTGAAGTGGCTAGCTTTTTCAAGCAGACCACTGCGTCTCGCCGAACTTGCCGAAATATTCATTTTCCGTCCTGGGGCTGTCATCGACCTGAAGGAAGAGCGACTTTTTGCCCCAGAAGGGGTTTTGAGATATTTCTTAAGCCTCGTGACTACCGAGACAAGAGTAAGGTATAATACCTATAGAGGACTGGAAACATTCACAGATGTCCGCCTCGCTCACTTCACAGTCAAGGAGTATTTGATATCTAATCGCATCGAACAAAGCCCTGCAAAGCAGTTCTGGTTTACGGAGAGGAATGCTCACCTGCACATCGCTCATTGCTGCCTGTCTTATCACGTCAGCCAAAGTGCCGAGGCCGAGGAGTCTAACGATGAGCTACTTCTGAAAAGCTACGCAATCGAGAATTGGGTACGGCACTTAGACCTAGTTCCGCGCCATGAATGGTCATCTGAGGTTGTCCGGCTCGCTGAGCGTGCCCTGTTCACCTGCAGTAGCAGCTTAAACCTGCTTATACGGAAAATGCCACTATCCTATGATACGGAGCTGGCAGATTGGTTTACCCGGAAGGAACAGATCGACATGCAGCAGCGGCCGTACTGCTACACCGCCGGGCTCGGCTCTCTGAATCTCACCAAACTCCTGCTTCGTGGAGCTTCGAGAGCCAGCATGTACTTGGTTCAGGAGGATCTCAACTTGACCCTCCGAGTCGCTGCCAAGGCAGGTTATCATGATATTGTACAATTTATCCTTGCCCTATGTGCAGGTGACAAAGCACGAGACGCGATCACTGTCGGGCCGCTCCAGGCTGCGGCATACCAAGGACATTTGGCCATCATAAGCCTCTTGCTGGACAGTGGCGCAGATATCAATGCGTACGATGACGAATTCGGGTCGGCTTTGAAGGCCGCGGCCATGGGCAATCAGCCAACAGCACTACAATTACTCCTGAGCCGCGGGGCTGACGTCCGCAAGGCAGGTTGTCTTTTGTCGTGCTGGATATCGACTTATGAGGAGAACTATGTTAATGTCCCGGAAAATACTGAAGTTTTGCAGCTTCTTCTCGACGGCGGTGCTGATATCAACAGCAAGTGTGCAAGACACGGAAGCCCGCTGAATCAGGCAATCAAGAGGTGGTTAAGTCAGAAAACGCGTAGCTATTTTGACTTTGTTGTAGGGCACGGCGCCGACATTACATTGGATGATGGGCGAGATGGCACCCCGCTCCAAGCGGCATGCCTCAAGAAACTGAACGATGATATTGTTGACCCGTCTCGAAGCATTGCAGTGATTGAGGCCCTGCTAGACATGGGGGCCGACGTGAATGGCCAGGGTGGGGAGTGCGGTAACGCATTACAAGTGGCATGTCGTGAACAAGATGACCACACTGGTGTGATTAGTCTGCTGCTCGACAGAGGCGCGGAAATCAACCAGCTGGGAGGACGCTATGGAACAGCATTACACGCCGCCTGCTCGAACGCGGACCCAGAGTTGGTTAACTTCTTGCTTGATAAAGGTGCTGACCCTGCGGTAGAGGGTGGGGAGTTTGGAAGCGTCTTGCAAGCAGCATGTTCCAACTACGAACTAGACTACCGGCTAGGTATTGTGAAGAAACTGGTCGAACAGGGCGCCGATATTAATGCTGTCGGTGGCAAATTCGGAAGCGCGCTGCAAGCGGCAGCTTCACACAAAGGCTCATTCCTTTACAAGGGCGGGCATGAGGATGTAGAAACCTTTTTGCTCAGCAAAGGCGCAGAAGTCAACATGCAGGGAGGGATCTACAGCACAGCACTTCAAGCCGCTTGCGAAGGAGGCAAGATGGGAGCGATTCGCTTGTTACTTTCCCATGGTGCAGATGTAAATGTTGAGGGCGGAAAATACGGAACTGCGCTTCAGGCGGCTTGCGCGCCCCGGCCTAGGGGAAAGGACTGTTACGACATGGCGCGCCTACTGATAGAACATGGAGCCAACGTACATGTTCAAGGCGGCCTTTTTGGGAGCGCCTGGCATGCTGCTGCTGCTACAGCTCCTTTTCGGTTTGATGAAACTACCGAAACGATGAGGCTCCTTCTCGACCATGGTATCGATATTGACAGCATAGGCCGACCACATGGCACTGCTCTGCAAGCTGCCCTTGAGAACTTCCAGGATCACGACCGCCTCGTTCTCAGGCTCCAGCTTCTTCTCGAACGCGGCGCTGATGTCAACTTAGGAGGCGGTCAATATGGATTTCCGTTGCAGTCGGCGTGCGTAGTGCCTAGTAATTATAGATATGAGGTGAACATCTGCGGCCTCATCTACCTCCTCGAAAACTGCCCCGAAATCAACGTCAACATGACAGGAGGAATATTTGGCACGGCTTTACAGGCAGCAACATCCCAAGGCAAGACAAAAGGCGTTGAGCTGCTACTTCAGAAGGGCGCCGACACCAACATTCGTGGCGGAAAGTACAGAAGCGCACTCAATGCGGCCATCTTCAAAGGGTATTGGGATCTGGTCGAGATACTGCTGGATGCTGGAGCCAAGCCAGACTTTTATCATCTTTCCGAACCCGACGAGGAATGGCTGGAAAGTATTGGCAGTGAAGATGGGAAGGGCGCTGTGGATCGTTACAGGAAGTTTTGGGAGATAGAGACGCTGAAATTGAGCCAAGGCAAGGCGGTAAAAGGGGAGAATGACTAGCCATTTCCGTTCTGATTAGGATCATGTACTGCCACATAAAAGGTACTGAAATGATAATGTTAGCTACTACAGTCTACTGCAATATCGCTAAAACGAAAGAAATCTTTCGTTAGACTCGTTTGCGAGCTGCTGGATTGAAGTGTACCATCACGACTTTGAACAAGTGGGCCAACTAAGACATCTATACGGTTTTCTGGTATGACAACAAAGATCCAATCCTGTCATTTCTAATCTTTCACTTTGATTACCTGGGAGAATACAATATTGGTCTATCATTGCATCATACATAAACTATAACCGACTTGTTCAAAACCAACTACCTTCGGATTCTGCCGTCCCATACCGCTTTCACGTAAGACAGGAGAGCACGCTAGGTTTACTTTTCACACGACAATCCACCCTTCCGCAACACAATATCAACAAAGCAACGCATACTTACCAAAGTATGATTGCGTTGCCGAATTCATATGATAGCGTCGATGAATATACGGAAGATCTCATCGAGTTTATTGGAGCGCCCCTAGTTCGCCAGATTACTGGGGACATCCACGTCAACGACTCACTCATCTACAATGCCTGGGACGCTCTACCCGTGGAATGGACATCCTGGTGGAAATCATTCCCAGATCATCGCATAGCCCAACAAGACTTGATCGACAGCATCGAAGAGTTGGGACCCTCCTCGCTGGCAAATGAGGAAGCAAATGAAAGCCAACGACACCAACAATTGCCAGACAGGCCAGAATCGCTGTCTAAGTGGCTCGAGAGCATCCGGTCGCTCGCTCTTCCACGAGACCAACGCCCCGGCAAGACTATCGCCCTCCCAGAGATCCTAACAAGCCGCATGAAGACCAAAAAGATTGCAGAGGTCTCCACCGCCGCCGCATACATCCACAACGTCTGCCAAACAAACAACATAACCCACGTCATCGACATGGGCTCAGGCCAAGGCTACCTCTCCATCGCACTAGCCTACCTCTTCCCAGAGCTCCGCGTCCTAGCTATCGACGGCAGCGAGTCCCAAATCGCGGCCTCAAAGGCCTGCGCAGCCAGTCTCGGTATTCCTGAAAGCAGAATCCAGCACATGCGGCGCTACATCGACGGCACGCCACCTTTGGCGGACGAGATGGCGGCCTGGGCTGAAGACGAGAAGTGCATGCTGGTCGGCCTCCACGCGTGCGGGAATCTGTCTGAGCACATGCTGAGGTACTTCGCCACGGTCCCGTTCATCGTGTGTCTGGGCGCCGTCGGATGCTGCTACAACCACATCGTCCCGCGTTCCGCCAGTTGTCCTGATGGATTTCCCATCAGTGCAAAGATGCGAGACAGAAACGTCACGCTGAGTGCCACGGCGCTCATGACGGGCTGCCAGGCGCCGAATAATTGGGAAAGGGCAGACCCGAGCAAACCAGAGTCGACGTACTCCAAACGTCGCTTCTATCGAGCCTTATTGGAGAAGATTTTCCACGATAAAGGGATTGAACTCGATAAGGAGGATAGACCAGTGTGGGGCGTGCGAAAGGGAGACATGGATAGCTTTAATGCGTTCGCACGCAGAGCGATGGGATGCCTGAACGTTGACGAGAGCAGAATCAGCGATGCTGATCTCTTAGCTTATGAAGAAAGGTATCGAGGGTATGAAGGCAAAGTGGCGATCCTTTGGACGCTCAGTGTCCTGTGCTGCAAGGTTGTCGAGAGCGTAATTGCTCTAGATCGGTATTTGTTCCTGACGGAGAACGGGGGGCAACATGTCGACGTTGTGCCGATATTTGATTATACAATATCGCCACGGAATCTGATGCTCGTGGCTGATAAGACATAGATGCGTACTTTACCGGTACCTAGACTAAGGTAAATCATTCATCATGGAGTATGGCAGAAATCGCTCCCAGACATCATTCTTAATCGACCTCTTATCTTGAACACATACTGCAAACAGGCCAGGCACCGGAAATGAAGCCATACTTTTCAAGCCATGTTTGAGCGTGAAGATATCGTTCATCATGGAGCAACTTCTACCTCACAACATGTAGGTGTCAGGTGGTCTAAAGGTCGGTCTCATGAATACAATATATTAAAGCCAACTATGTACACAGAATCCAATACACAAACCCCGAGATGCAATCTCAACAGACTTCCACCCCCTTCATCCCTTAGAACATCGCAAGGGCAGCAAGACCACACACGGCCGCGACAGCGACACCGAAAGACGCACGCCCAGCAGACGCAACCTGCACAACAGAAGGCAAAGGCTTCGCGGTAGCAGTAGGCGCCGCACCGGTAGCAGAACCAGAGCAAGCGGTGGGCGTGACAAGCGAACCGTCAGGTCCGAAGGGGCTGTAGCCGAGGCATCCGGCGTACTGAGCGGCGCAGGTAGACATGTTGGCGCCAGGCGCGCTGCGGCACTTGTTGTAGGCGTCGTTGCAGCCGGTAACGCAGGCGGCGCCGGTGGTCGCGGGGGGGAGGACGCCGGTGGTGATGGGAGGGACGGCGGTGCCGGTGGGAGGGGCGACGGTGGTGATGGGAGGGACGGCGGTAGCGGTGCCGGAGCAGGCGGTCGGGGTGACGAGGGAGCCGTCGGGGCCGAAGGGGCTGTAGCCGAGGCAGCCTGCGTACTCGGCGGCGCAGGTGGCGCGGTTGGCGTCGGGGGCGGAACGGCACTTGTCGTAGGCGGCGGCGCAGGTGGCGGCGCACTCGGGGCCGGAGGGGCCGGTGGGGGGGAAAACGCCGGTAGTGATGGGAGGGACGGCAGTGGCGGTGGGGACCACGGCGGTGCCGGAGCAGGCGGTCGGGGTGACGAGGGAGCCGTCGGGGCCGAAGGGGCTGTAGCCGAGGCAGCCTGCGTACTCGGCGGCGCAGGTGGCGCGGTTGGCGTCGGGGGCGCTGCGGCACTTGTCGTAGGCGGCGGCACAGGTTGCGGCGCACTCGGGGCCAGGGGCGACGCCGGTGGGGACGGGGCCGGTGTGGGTGATGGTGCAGGGGCAGTCGGTGATGGTGAAGGTGGTGGGCTCCTTGATGGTGTAGGTGAACTTGCCGTGGTAGATGACGGTGGGCTCGGGGCAGTAGGTGGTGATGGCGGTGACGACCTGGGTGTAGGTGCCGTTGGTGAGGAGGGCGGCGACCGGGGCGGCGACGACGGGGGCGTCGGCCACGGGGGAGCCGGAGGTGAGCTGGGCGGCGCTGATGATCAGGCCGGCCAGGAGGGGAGCCACGTGAGAAGACATGTTGTTGGGGTTTGGGTGGTGAAGACCGTGTGGTGTAAAAGAGTGTGGTATGACTTGATGTCAAAGTGGTGAATGAGTGTGTGGGTTGAGATGGAAAGAAAGTTGAGTCTGTAGGAGAACTTTGATCATGATTTATAGGACATCGAGTTGAAGCCAAGACGGTGAATTAAACGTAAACATTTCAGCTAGCGTCGATGGCCAAGGGGTAGTTTGTTGGTAAAACTCGGATCACATCCGGTCTGGATGACATTTTACATTCCGGTGCTGTTGTGTTTGTCGTGCCTCGCTCTCCAGCAAGAATTCACTTAGTCGCGTCTCGTATTCTCTTCCCAGGAACTTCGCTCCTAGCCCCTCGTATCTCTGCTAGCGTTCTACCCGTCATGCCTGCCGACCGACTAACGCTCTTCTGCGTTCTTTCATCCTGCCGCGCCTATTTTAATCTTAAAACGCCAAAGTCTTAGCCATTTTCCTGGGGAAGAGGCGAGGGAAAGGGGGTGAGTGTCGGCGCCACGGTAGTGGAATGTACGCCATCTCGGCTATGGCTATCAAATCAACAACGTCAATCGTGCGTCAATCGGACTTTGGTCTCACCCCAGAGTTCATCTCGGGCCGGAATGTTTTATCCATGCTAACGAGTCACCGTCCGTGTCTCTTGACACTTTTTATATGGCATGCGCCCCCGCTTGAATGTCACAGGTTGTGGTCAGGAGTCAAGGGAGGATGTCTGATACGAGATTCATCTAGTAGCCTTCTCATACGATGGTGACGGACCAGCTGGCTCGGAATGGACTCCGACAGAGGACAAACTTTAAGAAAATTTCCTGTTCTCACATTGGCAAAAGTATTTGGATGATCAATTGCCTCAAACCATCTACCTTAGCATTAAGTCTTTACCTAATAACAATCTTTGCCGGAACTTGGGTAAGATTGAGTGTTCCTCTCAACAAGCGAGCATACAGACGACAAGGGCGAACGCGGCCTGGACAGCGCCCATCCTACCATTAGTAGTCATGTGGCACGCGATACCAACAATACTGGTAGCGAGTTCATGTTGTCACTCGATTCAAGTAAGATTACTTAGCTAAGGCACAGCTGAGAGGCTGTCCTAGCTTTAGTCATCCTTCAAACCCAGTAGTATGCAGAGAAATCCAGTCATTGCCCATCACCTTCAAGCTTCCTCAAGGTGCTTCCGCTAAGCTCTGAGACAATGACATTAATGTGTGACAATGGTCCAAATTATGTACAACACCATGATCTCCACTGGGTGCCCTCGGCTCACTACACTATTCTCCTGGTGAAGGCACCATTGCTGACCTCGAAACCACCTCGACACCCAGATCGCTCAGCCGGCGGTCCTAAGCGCAGAACCCACAGAGATTTCGCTCCAAGAGACCACGTCTTAGTCGGGGTTGGCATGCCCGAGACGGCCGCTCACTTCCTCTCCCTGACGTGCACCTTCATCTTCATATCGTGCCTCGGCCTAGCCTCCATACCAACCATCTGGAAAGCCAAATCGCCCACCTTGTGATCGATATCCATATAATCGACCCTCTGCGTAGTCCCATTCACAATTGTCTCGAAATCGAACCACCGCACCGTGAGCAACAACATGATGCGCAGCTCATCCATGGCCAAATCCTGCGCAATACACGCCCTGGGCCCGCGCTCAAACGGCCGCCACGCAAAGCGGTGCATATCCTTGGCGTCCTCGCCCAGGAACCGATCGGGCCGGAAGCTCTTGCTGTCCTCGCCCCAGACTTTCGGGTCCATGTGCGTCGAGTGGGCGCAGGGGATGACCATGAGGTTCTTGACGGGCCAGCGGCGGCCGTTCCACTCGAGGTGCGTGGTTCCGGGCGGGGCTTGGCGGATGGTGAAGCCGATGGGGAAGAAGCGGAGCGTCTCCTTGATGACGGCGTTGGTGAAGTCCATGTCGTTTGTCTTTTGCGGGTTCGCGATGAGCATCTCGACGGTGGTGTCGAGGTCCGGGGAGAAGTGCTCGTCGTGCTCAGCGCGGAGGCGGGCGACGACGTCTGGGTAGAGGGAGAGGAACATTGTGACCCAGGTGAAGGTATCGGTGGTGGTGCCGTGGCCTCCGAGGAGGAGGGCCTTGAGGCTGGTTTGGTTGTTAGCAAGAATGAACGTGTGATGCGCGAGAAAAGAATTGACTAACTTGGTAACAGCGGTGTCGATGAATTCGTCGTCGAGACCCATGCCCGGTCCGCTCTGGATTCTGTCCAGGACGATGCGGTCCAAGACACTCTTGACCTGTCGTCGCGAAGGCAACTCCTTCTCGTCCTGCAGGATGCGCAACCTCTCCTTCATCTCCTTAGCCAAGGTATCCCTAACGCGATCCTTGAGCGCCTGCAACTTCTGCTGCGCCTTGCGCTTCTTCCATGGGTTGCGGGTGCCGATGAAGGTGGTGGCGGGGTTAATCGAGTTTCGCAAATCCTCAAGCAGTGGCGAACCAGACCTCTGGGCCTCGAGAGAGACACCAAACACAATCTTACCGACAACGTCAAAGATGGTCTTGGCCGACTCCTCCTCCATGTTGAACGACTCGCCCTTGGCAGCAAACGCGCGGAGGCGCTCGTGGAAGATGAGGACCTGCTCGGCAATCATGCCGGCCATGGGCTTGACGTAGGTGGGCGTGAAGCCGGAGCCGACCATGCGGTGGTTGTACTTCCAGCGGTCGCCGTTGGAGGCGGCGATGCTGTCCTTGCCGGTGAAGGGGCGGAGGAACTGCTCGATGGTGGGGTGCTTGGGGTAGGGATTCGTGGTGAGGACGAGCTGGGCGGCGTCCGGGTCGGTGATGATGACCTGGGACTCGACAAAGGGCCACATGTCGACGTAGAAGATTCCGCCGAGGTTGTACTTTTGCGCCATGATGGTATAGATGTGCTGGGGGTGGGTGAAGAGCGGGAGGGTGGCTGCCAGCTCTTCCCAGATGATTGTGTGCGCCCAGATCCATGAGTGCTTCGGCGGTTGAGGCTATTGTGAGAAGACACCAACAGAGTCAGCATTGTGGCTTTCGTGAGCTGCACGCTTTGCGTCTGTCTGCATGGTCGCTGGCGCAGGACGTGACGGAGTGAGTTGAGAATGAAGCTCTTACCAATCCTCTGAATCTGGTTCTCATGTACACGGCCTTGAAAGCCCAGTACACGGCCGTGGCGAGAGCCACGCTGGCCGCGATGAGCCAGTTGGAAACGCCAAACATCGTGAGCCTCAAAGCTTGGGGGGTATCGCCAAGCTATTTCCCGAGAAGATGACGAAAGGGAGGGGAAGAAAACGAAACAAAAAAGGGACGAAAGAACTCTCGCTGCCCACACGCGCAGTACAAGAGAAGAGAAAAAAACTACGTAGTGAAGGAGATGGCGGGGTATTAGGGTCAAATCTCATCTACGACCTACCAATCCTAGGCTCTACGTAATGTCACATTCGGGGCAGAATAACCAGAGGAAAAATGCCTCTCTCTCTCACTCACTCAGACTTTTTTTTTTTCTTCAGCAAGGGGGGGTCTGTAGGTTTGGTCCTTTTTGATGCGATCGTCCTCCCGCCAGCGCGTCTTGCTGGGGGGAGGGGGTGTGCGATGCGTGAAGATGGTTGCATCCTACGTTGAACGGTGGGGTCGAGAGGATCAGATTAGATGATCTGATAAGATGATTGAAAAAGATCAGTGATCCCGGATTGGATGAATTCAGAACGGCCGACATGGGTGGGAAGGGGAGGGCGTGAGATGAGTAAAAAGGACACGCAGGCACTACAGGAAGTTCCCGGAATTGGTTCCATGTCGTGATGAATGAGGGGGTGTGGATGGTGGTCAGAAACGCCGTGGGCCCCAGTTTCAATGGCTTCAAGTTGTTTAGCGCGGGTTTGCAAGCCTTTCGCGGCGGACTCGACCAGTCAACGTGCGGAGGATTCAGTTTTGTTGTGTCAACGGTCCGGTCCGCTCATCGGCACTCAGATTTGGTGACGATGCGGCGTTGCTTCGTCTCTTCATACGGCCACGGGAAGCTGCTAGGTGCGTGTAATGATATGCCCATGTCGAGAGCACTGCAAAAGATTTCTTCATCGACTTTAACGGTTGCTAGATTTTGCACTTCCGCGGCCAGTTGATAATGTCGACGCTGGCTGAATGGTACGTTGTATCCATTATGTTTTTGCGTGCAGAGAGCTAGGCGGAATGTGGGTGGGAGTCCGCCGATGCGTGGCCGATGACCGAGGAACCTTCAAGGATTCGAAAAAGGTTCGAACGTGAGATGGTGCGCCTAGCTTTCATCAACCTCCTCGAAGTATCGTGGGCAGGCTTCTTCCTGGCCTCACGGAGGGAGCTTTTCAAATCCGACCGCAACTGAGACTCAAGAGTGCCGAAGCTTCAATGCCTGGCAATGAAGCTAGATGCCAGACTCAATGACGGAGAATTTTGTGAACCTCACTCTCAGAGACAATCCACCACCACATAATCCACATCCCGCCGGTGGGATAGGTCCACAGGGCCTTGGCCGGGCTGCTGAAATGCGTCTTCTCCATCGCGACGGGGAGTCAGCGGGGAGTCAACACGAGCTTCAAAGCCAATGAATGCATGCCGCAGTTCATTAGTTGTACCACTTACTAAGCATAGCAATTCAAGATTTTCGTACAGATCAAGTAGGCAAACATCGGCATCTTCCCGCGACTGTAAAGCGATCTTTTGCGATTCTGGCTGCTTACAGCATGAACTTTGGGCGATCCACAGAGGAGCAAAAGAGAATGTGTACTCGGTGCGCGAGGAGGGGCTAAGGTGGGGGAGAAGAAGAAGAGAAAAAAAACACCACTTCAGATGAACCCCTGCTTCTTCAGCAGATGCTAAGCTTTCTAGGACAGCGGCACGGCGGCTACGATCTTGACAGCACCAACAAAGTTGAGCATTTCCACTGATGGAACAGGCTGGCGCATGTGAATACTGTGTTGGTAGGTAAGTAGGTACCTTGCTTCATGCATTAGTAACTGACGGCAAAACGTCAGCTGTCTATCCGTACCGTGAAACCCCAATTACATAAGGTACCTGCTTATGTAATCTCAACGTTCCATGTGAAATCGAAAACTTTCGACTCGTAAGCCATCAAAAGACATCAACTGGTCTAAACAAAAGGCAAAAGTTCCGAAACCGAGAATCGAACTCGGGGCTATGCCTAACCTCTCAAGGAAATGAGAGGGCATCATGTTGGCCACTACACCATATCGGATGTTGATGTCAGGAGGTCAAAGATTGAGGCTTGAGTATTCTGTGTGCTGAGGGTGGAGCTGGTGCTGGGCTTACCCTTAGGTCTCCTTCCCCCAAGGATAGTGCTAGTGACGGCGTGTCAGGAAAGCGGCTAGCCGCATCGTCTGCTCTGTCATGTTCTCTTTCAGGTTGGAAATGGAGACCGGACACGAAAAACAAGTCGAGGACGAGGGAAAGAGAAGGACGAGAATTAGCTGTCCTCCGTGCCAGAGCTCCAAGGTGGATGCACAGCTAACTAGACGGAGATCTCCAGATCTTCTGCACGGACAACAGAAGCGGCGTAATAACGCACGCAATCGGCTCCGGACAAATTTTGTTCAACGGACAACCGGTGCGCGCCAAGTGCCGTTGCCTATCGTCCTCGACCATATGTGAGGACGCCAAGGCAACATTCGATGTAGCCAAGAAATGCATCATGCATGGCTGCTTTGCCTCGCTGAGCATGCATCGCGTTCTCATCTCATGTTCAAAGTGGGCGCCATCCGCATCTCAAAGCCGCCCATCTCATCGGCATGGGCCGTAGTTCGACTCGACCAAACTTTCATTGGACAAAACCCAACAAGTCCGTCCCGAAACAAAAGGATTATGACAAGAACGAGATTCGAACTCGCGCGTGTTTCCACACCAGCAGGATCAGACTTAACCTGAAGCTGGCGCCTTAGACCGCTCGGCCATCTTGCCATGAAGCAAATTGCGGAAGCGGGTTGGGACCCGCTGCGGAGTAAGCTTCGACCAGAGGGTCTCAAGACGACGCGGCGGAGCCGACTCCGTAAGCTGTGACTAGCAGTGCACAAGGGAGCAAACGACGAGTACTCGAGAAAACAGAGCGAATGAATTGCGTTGCTAAAAGGTATCTTGGTTGAAATCAAAACCGGCTAGAATGGTGGCATCATCGGATCCTCTGATATTGCGTCAACGCCCATCCCTGTACGTTCATCCCGTGTGTCTCCCACCAAGCTTAACTTTCCGTATTGTCCTTATTGGACTTGTGTGTATAACCTTTGTCGAGGAGTTGCGTAAAACCGACCCGCTTAGGCAGTCTTCTTGCCGGTAGCGACCTGTCGACCTTGCGAGGTGTACCGGACGTAGGCATAGCCGCCGGCCGCGATGACGCCAATGATGACGAAGTTGCCTGTTGGTAAAGGAGATCAGCAACAAGACGACGAAGAGCTGCATTGGTGACGTGGGACTTACTTAAGACAAACTTTCCGAGTCCGCCAACGACATCGATTGCGCCTTGGAATACGTCGGTAATGAGGTTGACGAGACCGGTGAAGAAGCCGATGATGGTGTTGAAGATGGTCTGCAGAACGTGATAGAAGGCGTTGAAGATGGAGGAGAGGAGCTCGTAGATGCTACTAAACAGATCCTGGATTGCGTTGGAGACGGCCATGGTGACGGTTGTGATAGTGTTGTGGTTTTGGTATTGTTGGAGTGTCTGGTTTGGGAACGAGCTTGGAAGTCTGGATGCGATCGGGCAAAGGTGAATAAATGGGAGCTTCAGATTTAGCTCCAACAGCTCAAGAGGTCGACTGAGAACTGGCCGCACCGTTAGCTTTAAGAAAGGAGCCCACGCGGACGACAAACAACGTCCTTGTGACGCGATGGGCGCTGCCGCCTGAGACTTGGCTAACCCCAAGCGAACCAAAGCGGCGGGTTGGCGCAGGCAGGAGCCGACGCCAGTGACTGCCATGTGTGGTGAGAATTGTCGCCCGTGACGTCGGCATCGTGACGTCACCAGCCACACAGGCAATCACACAACGTTGTTCCAGCCACGCACCTTCCCATTCGTGCCATTCTCACCAGTAACAATTGGGCAGCAGGAGCAGATACGTACTCCGTGCACCATACCTACCACAGGAAGGAGGCTAGAGCGGAGGGGTTCGTCCGGGCGGGAAGGAAAGGGGAAGGGAACCGATATTGTCTCTCGCTTGTGGCTGCCGTCATCACGCATTCAAGCCACCTTTTACCCACGTGCCCCTGTCTCCTCATCCAGGGCATGCTAAGAAAGGGAGGAGGCGTGTGTACGGCCTGGAGCCCCGAGCACCTCAATCACTTCATGTTTTTTTCCACATCGTACGGTATGCATCGTTCCCGGTTGTCAGTGATATAGAGCTGTACCATACATCCAGCGATCGTTCTCGGGGGATAGCAAGTTAGGAATCCAGCGACTCAGAGCTCGTTGGATGTACGGCCTAATACTAAGCACCTAGAGGTGATTCCGCAGTTCGGAATCCATGAGCTTTCTACGCCATCCCTAGTCCTTTGATCGACTAAAACTTGGGCGAAGCCATTCTCGTTACAGCGCGCTGCATTGGCTGAAACCCAACAGTTCAGAGGGGACCAGCTGTCATATCGATGCCTGTGCGACAAGTTCAAAGATTGTACTTGGATATTTGTCTATGTGCCATCTGTTTCAATCTTTATACATAAACAACATGAGTCGCCTTCTTCCATCATAGAAGAAACATCTATCGAACCAATACCCCAAGCCAAAAAAAAAAAAAAAGAGCTCCTTAGTTGGCGGCGCAGTTGTGAGGGTTGCCAGTACCGTCAGCCTTCTCCTTGGCTCCAATACCGCAGAACTTGAGATCTTTGGTGTAGTACACACGCATGGGACCAGGGCGGTTAGTAGTCCCCTTCTTGGCGTTAAAGTCGTAGCGCTTGCCGTCTGCCAGGACAGGGAGCTCGTAGACGGTGCCGGAGCATCCCGAGGCAAATGTCATCACATTGCCCCTGTTGTCAAACGGCTTGGGGTATCCGCTGGAGCCTGCGGTGGTCTTGGCTTCGCGGAGGTATCCGATGGATGTGTCGTATTTGACTGTTCCGTACAGGGCGCCGTCGTTCTTGGCTCCTGCCTTGCAGGTGTAGGACTATTAAAAAAAGGTCAGTTTTGATGCGATTTAGAGATGATTGGCAGGAAGACTATGGAGTAATTACCTGGCCGGACTGACGAGTCTCGATGGTGCCGTCTTCGCCCAAGAGTGGGGTTGGGCTGGCGATGCTGGCGGTGGCAGCAAGAAGAGTGAGGATGTAAGTGTAGGAAACCATCTTGACGGATTGATGTTACTGAAAGTGATTTGCGAAGTGAGTGTGAGAAACGGTTGAATGTTTTCAAGTTGTAAAAGAGTGTAAGAGGCTTTGAAGTACCGTTGGATGAGGAGCGAGCTTGAGATTTCATCATTTTGACGGTGCAAGACGACGCTATTTATCCCATGAATTTGAGTACTTGTTGTTTCTTCTCTTCTAGGCCTCCAAGATGTCTCGAGGGAACTTGTCAGCCATGTTCCCGGTCTAGCCGAGTGAACATGGTCTATGCTCACACTTCGTTACGAGTCAGTGACGCATCAATGTACGGCCGCCAATATGATCTGCTTAGGTATATCTCAGAGACCTAATTATATTCTTACCCAACTTTGGCTACAGTCGGGACAGAATAAGATGAGCTTCGATGTATCATGTATACCATGAACTCAATCACGATATAGCCTAGGCTCAATATACTCAACTTTCAAACAGACTATGCCAACTTACTTTCACAACTAGACATGAACACGACTCTTCGCGTCTCTTGTTACCAGACATACATGATAAGTCATAAATTCTCCATACGGTGTTAGAAATTGCTAAGATATTTGCTGGTATTGAAGACAAGTTGATACTTGCGTGCATCTCAATCTTTGATGGCTAGATGCCGGCATGCAATGGGGCCGAAGTTCTTGTGCAACATCGAAGGAGTGAAGGATCCCAAAGTAGCATTCAGCTATCTCAATTCGGGCCTACATATTCCATGACGAGCTGACTTACACCTTCAAAGCATCAATATGTGAGTGAAAGACAACAAGGTCTATTTGTGAAAGATCCTGAATGACTGACAAGTGAGTTACCCTATTCCTACGCCATAATACATCGGCTAGACGTGCCGAACAAGCGTGTGCGATGACTCCGCCGGTCAGCACCAGGTCATTTTTACGAGACATTGACATTGCCAATCATGGAATCGTATGTTCGCCGAGTGTTCATGGATATCTCCACCGAATGTAACCTTGCAGCGAGCGGGTTCATGCCTCCATAGCCGGCCTGGAAGATGCGTTCTCTGAGTCCAAAACAACAAACACCGTCTCTGTTATCCAAGTATGCCAAGCTACAAGTCATCATCTCATCAATCGTAATAGAGCACTCTAGGGCTCGCCTGAAATCCGGAACGAGCGGAAGTCTAAGTGTTGATATTGCTTCTAGGTATGTTGCCAACGTAATAGCATGTCAAATAGCTCAAACTTCAACGTCAGCTTGGTAACAAACTTCAGATAGACTAGAAAGCCGGGTTATCTGTAGATCATGATTCTAAGCAAGGCAGAAAAATCGAACGACCTCATTCTTCTGCCTAGAAATCTCCCTCTTTCGGACGATTCAAACATCATGCTTGGCACGGGACCGGGCATTGCCATCACCCCTTTTATTGACAGCAAGGTTCATAGGACGACCAAGTATAGCTAACATACCCCAAACAAATCACGTCTTTAGACTTTGCTAAACTTTGGTTGCCTAGCAGAAAACGAGCTCTGGGCGTCTGAAGTTCATGGTGCACCGGCGTCCCGGCACGGGTTGACGGCATGGCGCCGTCTGAGGGGAAAAGGCGGGGACCCCCTTTTAGGGCTGTGCAGGGCGCCGACGGGGACGCCGGGCCCCGAAACACGGCCCCCCATCCTGGCACGCACTGCGGCCTGGAGGCGCCATCCCTGGGGCCTGAAGAGGCCTGGCGACTTTCCCTTTCCAGAAGCCGGGCTTTTATTTATGGGCTAGGGGGTGAACTCTAATTGAGAGTGTTCGCCGGATGACGGCAGCTTTACTTGAACTACCAAAAGTCGATGCAACTGTCTGTCACCCCGAGGCCCCAGTTGACACGTTGTCAAGCAGTAAATTCAACGATATCTGGAAGAAGAAACCTTTCTTCACAGCTGCACTTCAATCCAGAAAGTAACAAACGGTCAATTGCAAAGTCATCCTATCTCACAACCAACAATGTCGACAGTGCATGTCCAACTAGAAGACCCCGGTGCGCCTCCCTTCGCCGCCAGAGTCGTCGAGATACTCAATTTGGCCTTCGACTCGAATAATACCATCTCAGCGGAAAAGGCCGCCGCGGCAATAAACTCGCTCTTCATTTCAGATTACGAAGAACATGGCACAGCAGGTTCTTTCCTCTGGTGGTTCTGGGACCTCATGCACGATCTAGCCCGCCAGATCCCCTACGACCGGCGTGAGCAAGATCAGCTGGCGGCAGTCATCGAGGCGCTCACCGGTCTTCCAACCAAAAGCGTCATCCTGGGCGAAGAATGGGGAGGTGCAGGTGACAGCTCGGTCGATGTGTGGAAGAGCTTAACCATCTTCGCGAATACCTTCAACGAGACGCTCAGTGACGGTAAGATCACGCCCCCGATTCCGGTCTCGCGACGCCCCTTGAGATTCCCTCCCTCCATAGATCACTTGCTGAAATGAGACCGCCAGGTGATTCAAGAGCTCCCAGTGAAGAAGCAAGAAAAGACCGCCAGGTGAACCTGCAAGCGTACGCAGCCCGAGTCGCAGGCCTAGGCCTCGTCCCCCTAGAAACAAACGCCATCTGGGCGCTCGTAGACGCTCTCGAAGGCACCGTCAAGCCCGTTCGCGGCGCTCCAGACGAGATCGACTCAGATCCAGCCGCCGTAGAGGATATCACACACAAGACACGTATCGCCGCAGCCTGGATGATCCACGCCGGCCACCTCTTACACGGGCGCGATGAGGTGGTGAGCGGGGCAACAGCTGGACCCCTGTGGAAGCTCGATAAGAAGGAAGCTGTGAAGTTGAGGCGCAAGTTCAAGGGGACTGATGGGCTTTGTGCCGAGCGGTGGCAGCTGTGGAAGGAGAGGTTTGCGGTTATTCGGGATGCTGAGGGGCTTGATGAGGGGGCGCGGAGGGATGCTGGCGATGCTTACACAGCAATGGGGAAGATAGAGAAGAGATTGTAGGTGTTAGTTGAAATCCATTGCATGACCGAGGATAAGACACTGCCGTCTCTTGTTTGGGTTCCTCCAACTCTCTTACCACTCCGAGGGAGATATTCTCCCATGCAGTAATGTATATGAGCTTCGATAATTGTCTTTGAGGTAGCGTTACCGAATTCATCCCCCGTGTTCCCAGGAAGTTCGTAAAAGCCTTTTCGGCTTTAGCTCTTACACACCGAGATCTCACGTATCACATTCCTCATGTTGCCTCCTCGATCCTCCGACAACCTCTCTACCAGGGTTTCCCGATCCTTCGGATCGCTGCCGGGGTAGCCACCTTCCCCATTCCGACTTAGTCTGGTCGCCAGCTTACAGCCAAGACTCTACGGATCCTTCTTCATCTTCAACC